TGTTCGCTTCTGTTCACCCAGGAGTGACTGAGCACCTGGTGGTTAACCGACTGGCGGGTCGTGTTCCAGGGTAAACTAGCGGGCAACACTCCCCGTGAGCAATGGGGGCGGGAAAGCGCTCAGTCTGCAGACACAGAATTCAGGAGTCGTCTGCACCTGTGAAAAAGACATTACTGTCGTTCACACGACTGGCAACATTTCCTAGCCATCATGGCGCCCTCATCCTCCTGCAGCAGGTGCTTCCAGCAGCTGGTTATTACCCCCCCCCCCACACACACACACACACTCCCCTCAGCCACTCGCTAACACCCTCCCTCCAACCACACACTTTACTGACCAATTACAACACAGAAAAATCTGGTGTACACAAGCTGGGAGATGATGTTGGTAGGAAGACGAGTGGCGACACCTTAATGTTCGCGTTTCCTGTTGTTCGGTGAAGAACCTCCCCCCAGTAACACCTCCGTCTCTCATCTCTCCTCAGCACCTGTCTGTCCAGTAACATTGGACTACGTACACACGCGCGCGCGCGTGTGTGTGTGTGTGTGTGTGTGTGTGTGTGTGTGTGTGTGTGTGTGTGTGTGTGTGTGTGTGTGTGTACTCACCTAGTTGTGTTTGCGGGGGTTGAGCTCTGGCTCTTTGGTCCCGCCTCTCAACCGTCAATCAACAGGTGTACAGATTCCTGAGCCTATCGGGCTCTGTCATATCTACACTTGAAACTGTGTATGGAGTCAGCCTCCACCACATCACTGCCTAATGCATTCCATTTGTCAACCACTCTGACACTAAAAAAATGTGTGTGTGTGTGTGTGTGTGTGTGTGTGTGTGTGTGTGTGTGTGTGTGTGTGTGTGTGTGTGTGTGTGTGTGGCTGACCGTCCTCTCCGTGGAGTACACATTACGACCAGGGGCCACCACAAGCCTGGCCAGCTCTTACAGCCCAAGTCTCAACACCTGACTCCAGTGTTCCAACACCCGTTACGTGCCTCAGCTTGTCTGGGATTATCTCTGGCCAGTTTCCAGTCTTACTATTTTAAAACACTTTAGTGTATGTTTTCTTACCGTCGCAGCACGACCTAATGCCAGGCTTCACGTGCTACTGATGGGTGGTGGGCGTGGTCAGTGTGAGGGTGGTGGGCGTGGTCAGTGTGAGGGTGGTGGGCGTGGTCGGTGTGAGGGTGGTGGGCGTGGTCGGTGTGAGGGTGGTGGGCGTGGTCAGTGTGAGGGTGGTGGGCGTGGTCAGTGTGAGGGTGGTGGGCGTGGTCAGTGTGCGGGTGGTGGGCGTGGTCAGTGTGCGGGTGGTGGGCGTGGTCAGTGTGAGGGTGGTGGGCGTGGTCGGTGTGAGGGTGGTGGGCGTGGTCAGTGTGAGGGTGGTGGGCGTGGTCAGTGTGAGGGTGGTGGGCGTGATCAGTGTGAGGGTGGTGGGCGTGGTCAGTGTGAGGGTGGTGGGCGTGGTCAGTGTGAGGGTGGTGGGCGTGGTCAGTGTGAGGGTGGTGGGCGTGGTCAGTGTGAGGGTGGTGGGCGTGGTCAGTGTGAGGGTGGTGGGCGTGGTCAGTGTGAGGGTGGTGGGCGTGGTCAGTGTGAGGGTGCTCTCGCAGGATCCTCTGGTGTAGAGAGGAATCCTCTGTACAATTGCTTGGATGTTGAAGAAGGAACCAGGAGGCAAGTCCCGCCTACCAGGAGATCTTCCTACCACACTTAGACAGCGGCTTGTTTCACGGTAAAGACAGTCAACCATCTGCAATTATCAACATAACATTCGGCAAGGTCACCTGACCCGACCTCGCCCTGTATTAGACACATATATTAAACATTACACACACTGAAGGTGTGACTTTTCATATGGCGAGGACCCACACTCTGATGCCGTCAAAATCCTGTGTGAACCGACTACTTGTTTTAGTGAAATATTAAATACAATCACTTACGGTGTTAACCGCTGGATGGGGCCAGCCAGGTGTCCCATCCTGGTGTCCAGCACACAGCCGTGACGGGCCGAGGGCCGCCAGTCTTCACGGGCCGAGGGCCGCCAGTCTTCACGGGCCGAGGGCCGCAAGTCTTCACGGGCCGAGGGCCGCCAGTCTTCACGGGCCGAGGGCCGCCAGTCTTCACACTTAATCCACCGTCTTTTAGCACTATCGACCACAACGACCCATATTGAGACTTCCTCTGGCTAATGAGCAAAACTTGGATAGGTTAAGTGGATGGCCGCGGTTCGTAATCGAGGCGATCCCTTCCAGGTGCTATATAGTTATAATGACTTGGCGCTTTCTCCTAATAATTCCCTTTGAAAGTTTAGCTGTAACGGGTTTCGAGAGTTGTTCTCTCCAAGCCCGGCGTGGGGACTAGGCTATGAGTCCAGTGGTGACATGAGCAAGGTCGGCAAGTTACCAAGTGATGCACTACTACAGGACCTTGTGACTCACCTGGCCACATGCCCCTGCTGGCCTGCTGGCCTGCGGGAGGCAGAGGTGAGATGACGGCGGCTGGGAGTCAACACTGTTTTATAACAAATGCAACAACAACAACAACAACAGCGGCGGCAGATGTTGAGAGAGATCGGGAGAGTATCACATTACCGCCACCAGCTGCAGCATCTTCCTGCTCCTCAAGGCTTCTGGGCTCTCACCCCACCTACACTATCCTGCTTCACTGCACGCGGCACCGTATCAACACACTGTACAGTGTCACTGACCATTCATTCTGGCAGAATGAAATACAACGCCATTAATGTATGGTGTCACTGTGAGAGTGGTGGATATAGTGATGAGTGAGGGCGAGCAGCATTACCTGGACAGTGAAGGCCTGAGGAAGACACCTGCATGTCCCTGGCTGGGAGAGCCAAGAGGCGCCATCACTGCGCCCCGTGGAAACCATCATTCTTATCATGGTGCAAACATCCCACGTAAGTAATGACAACTTTACTCAAGAAAACTTGCAGCCACAGACAATGGTGTTAGAAAGTCTCTACACTGTGCCCAGGGCCCAGACACCACCAGCCACACCTGTCATCACCACCTGGGCACAACTGTCACCTCTCCTGTATAAAACATGTCGGTGTGGCACCTGGAGCAGGTGTGCCCACACACCCGCCAGCCTCCACCACGCCCAGACCTGCGTGGAGCACGTAGACTGTGTGGAGGAGAGAGGACAGCAGCACGTGTTGTGGGGGTGGCCAGGTGGAGGAGAGCGCCCCCACACGGCTCTTGGCACCATGGCTCCACCACACTACCACACAGTAATTACAGCAACCCGATCCTCTCATCTACCAGGATGTTGCCGCTACATGCCACAAAAAACACCTCCCACACAAGGTTGTCGGGAACACTAAGTCAATTACAACTTAACAGTCTGGTGGCTTGTTGCTTCCTTCAGGACGAGGCTTCGTGCCTAGTATACGCTCCGGGTTGTCTCCTAAAATGTTACCCGTGATTAAAACTCTAGCCATCTAAAAGTTTCATTTGACAGTAAACGTGAGAGCCATTGTAGACTTCGGCAGTGCTTGGCTACCCAGCGAGCTCTATGCTAAGTCCAGCCCACCATGCGGGGGCTGGGCTGCGGGGGCTGGGCTACGGGGCTGTGCCGCAGGTGTGTAATTACCTAAGTGTAGTTACAGGATGAGAGCTACGCTCGTGGTGTCCCGTCTTCCCAGCACTCTTTGTCATATAATGCTTTGAAATGTGTGTGTTCCTGTACCTGGATGGGGTTTCTGGTTGATACCTAGTTCTACTTCCCAAGCCCGGCCCGGGACCAGGCTTGACGTGGGAGAGCTTGGTCCAACAGTCTGTTACTTAGAGCAGCCCGCAGGCCCACAAAAATAGAAGGAATTTTTTTCAGTATCTGAGTAGCTAACAAATGGAATGCATTAGGCAATAATATTGTGGAGGCAGACTCCATACACAAGTTTCAAATTGAAGATTGGCTTTAGGCATTGTATGTACTAGCTCTATTTATAAAGCCAACAAACTTTGTAAAATCTCTTTATGTATGTACCTTACCTAAATAAAAATTATTATTATTATTATTATTAAAAAAAAAGATATGACAGAGGCCCAATAGACTCAGGAACCTGTACACCAGTTGACTGACAGATGAGAGGCGGGAACAATGAACCAAAGCTCAAGCCCTGCAAGCACAACTAGGCGAGTACACACCCACCACTATAATCAGTGGCGGCGCGCGCGCACTTGCAATGTTTAGACGGCCAAGACGCAGCATCTTGGGGTCTGGCGATAAAGGCTGAAGGGATGGAGAGAGAGAGAGAGAGGGAACAGTGGGAGAGGCAGAGAAAGGAAAGTAATGTATGGGTAGAGAGAAATGGATGGACATGGAAGGGAAAGAAGAATAGATGGAAAGCGACAGAAGATGATGAGCGGAAAAGGAGATAACTAAGAAAGATAAAGTAAAGGATGGAGTGAGGGAGATACGAGAACAACGGATTGAGACGAAGGGATGGGAGTGCTTCCCCTTTGTAGGGGACAGGAAGCCTGTTGATATACATAATACAGGCTTGTATTGAGGTCCAACGACAAGTCCAACCACTGACCCTCGCCTTTAGGATGCAACCCACAACAGTTGCCCAACTCTCGGGTACCTATTAATTGCTAGGTGAAGAGAGGCATCACTTTTCTTCTACCACAGATGTGGCCAGACATTTACAATGCTAACCAGACATCGGGTCAAAGGAAACGTGCCCAACTATTTCTGTCCAGCCCGTGACTCGAACCCGGGATCCCTGATTGTGACGAGAAAAAGAGGGAGAGAGGTAAGAAAGGAGTGACGCTAAGGAGAAAGGTGGAAGAGATGTAAGGTTAGAGGGGAGGGAGGGGAGGAGCAGCTGGTAGGGGGCGCCGACCCCCGGACACAGGGGAGGCCAGAGTCAACACCAGGCTCTCTGGGGTATACCACCCCACACCTGCCCCTATCCTCACCTTCACCCACACCCACCCCGGTGAGGGGGGGGGGCAATTGAGATAAATTATTATTTTTCAAAGATCTTTACTTGCTGGCTCCTTCCTACGAGGCGACTGTTGCGGCCCGAGGCTGCTGGCGCCCAGTCTTCATCCTGGGAGCGATAACAAAGAACAATTACAAAAAGTCCTAAATAATTATTTACAAAAAGTCCCAAAGAATTACTTGCAAAAAGTACTAATCACACCCCAGCGGGTATTTTTTACACTTACAATTTCGCCTAATCTCCACACTGTGTAAAAGAATGACAGCTGGTAAAGAAATGGTTCACTGATAAACCTATGAATTTGTAATATAGTATTGTATATTGGAGCAAAGTTTTAATACCTAAAATAATTGTCCATACTATAGATTTTACGTAAGAAAAGATGTGGTGTTGAGGAGCTTTGTGTCCTGTATCCTCCACTCGTTTGAATACTTTAGTGTTATCCATAATAAAGCAATTTGATTTTATCACCGTTGAGCGTCATATTGGTTTATGCTGCCCATTGGAACATTAATTGATAACTAATTTCAATTTTTCTGTATTCAACTGTTGCCTTTTTCACTTATTTTAGTGTTTTGTAAACTGGAAAAGCTGAAGAGTAGTAGTGGTGTGGTTTTCATTTTATGGGCTACTACTATATCTACCTTAAGTTGATTTCGGGGATCAACTTCCCCATGGCCCGGTCTCCGACCAGGCCTCTTGATTGATGATCTAGTCAACCAGACCGTCACTGCAGAGTGAAACGGTCAATCAAATAAGATCAAGCCAAAGTGCAAAGAAAAGCTGTGTACCCCAGGGCACAGTCCTGGCACCACTGCTATTTCTCATTTATATCTCGGGTAGACAAAAATATTAGTCACAGCTTCGTGTCATCCTTTGCAGATGATACAAAAATCAGCATGAAAATTTCCACTGTAGAATACACTGAAAAACTACAGGCAGATATAAATAATGTCTTCGATTGGGCAACTGAAAATAACATATTTAACGGTGATAAGTTCCAGGTACTGAGGTATGGTGGGAACGAGGAACTTAAACGTAACACAGGGCACAGGACACACTCGGACCTATTCATAGAAGGAAAGCAACAGGTAAAGATCTGGGAATTATAATGTCTGACGATCTGATATTTTATGAACATAACCGAGCAAATATAGCGGCGGCCAGGAAAATGATAGGATGGATTATGAGAACTTTCAAATTCTCCAGAGACCCCACAGCAATGCCAATACTATTTAAATCACTGGTGCTGTCCTGTTTTGAGTATTGCTCGGTACTCACTTCTCCTTTCAGAGGTGGAGAGATCTCTGAATTAGAGGGAATACAGAGAACATATACGGCACGCATAGAAACGATAAAACATCTAAATTATTGGGACCGTCTGAAAGCTCTCAAAATGTTCTCGCTGGAAAGGAGACGAGAAAGGTATCAAATAACATACATATAAGATACTGGAGGGCCAGGTCCCAAATTTGCATAGTAGAATAACAACATACTGGAGCGAAAAGTACGGATGGAAATGCAGAATAGAACCAGTGAGTAGAGGTGCCATAGACATAATCAGAGAGAATTATATGTTGATAGCTTACGGAGTTGATACTTCCACAAGACGGGAAGAAAATGTATTGGGGTGTATAGCGAGGCTCCGTAACCAAGCGCTCTCGTCCAGCGATGAGTAAAGTTCCCGGTAAATGTCTTCATTCATTTACTTTGTGTTCAATTCTTATAATTCTTCAGAAGTGTTACTCAATCAGCAGTGTTTGTCGTGCCGCCCAGTTTGTCTTCGTGTGTGTGTGTGGCTGGCGGGTCAGAACTGATGGGAAGGGAGGGAGGGGGGTGAGGGAGGGGGGTGAGGGAGGGAGGCAGCGGACGGGAAAGAACCGGAGTGGAAAGAGAGGGAGAGGGAGGGAGGGCAAACTGGGGGAGGGGGTATATCACTTGAGGTCATTACGAGGCGCCACACGTCCCAGCTCCCTTCCTTCCCTCCTGCCAGTGGCCGTCGACACCCCAGAACCATCCCGGCCCTTCACCAGTTCCTGGAGATCCTCACCAAGACCCACGAGGGTCTGCCCGCCCCTCACTCGGGCACACCAACCTCGCCCCTCTTATCATCTTCTTCCTGTTATCTTGCCTTGATTTCGAGGCTCAACGTCCCCGCGGCCCGGTCCGTGACCAGGCCGCCTGGTCGTTGGACTGGTCAACCAGGCTGTTGGACGCGGTCTGTGGTCACATCTGCTTGATGGGGTTCTGGGAGTTCTCCTACTCCCCAAGCCCGGTCCGGGGCCAGGCTTGAGCAACGGGGTCCCCACACCCACAGGTACTTATAATTTTTTTTTTTATTAAGTTATGAGGTACATCTGCATTAGTGCAGCTACCCTAGACTATATGAAGTGGAGTACAGTGTGTCAAAAAAGCTAACTAGGTGATGCTATAAAATCCCCATCACACAGGATGGTTAGTCATACAGAGGCATGTGATAAGCGGTCTGCACTGGCAGACTCCGGATGCATTTTGAGGATATCAACAACACAAGATTGAATAAGGTAGCAGTGGTAATACAAGTCCCCATCTCGCAGGATGGTTAGTCATACAGAGCCATGTGTTTAATAGCCTGCACTGGCAAATTTTGGGTATACTGTGAGGATATCTTCAAGAATACGAGAGTGAATAAAGTAATTGCAGGTACTTATAATAATAAGGTCTAACCTTAGCAGTAGTAATGTCAAAAGCGTGCTGGTCTTAACAGGTGACCCATACTGCATACCATAGTATCTGCCAGTTGACTTTTTAAAAAATTATTTGGCATCAGTGTCAGAATTTTTTAAATCCGCAGCTTATGCACAAGTCTGGGACCTTGACATATACTGTGACTGCTCGGTACAACACCACTCAAATGTGTGGCCACGTCTGTGGTAGGAAAAACAAAACTTTTTGCAGGTTCGCGTTCGATACCTGATGATCCAATTGGCTGGACACCGTTCATTCGTCCTGATACCTGGTACCGTCCGTCCAGGTACGTCCGTCCAGGTACGTTGTCCGTCCTCATATCCTGCCAGCCTATCCTCATATCCTGCCAGCCTATCCTCATGTCCCTTCCCAGTGTGTGTCCACACCCCCCAGTGTGTGTCCACACCCCCCCAGTGTGTGTCCACACCCCCCAGTGTGTGTCCACACCCCCCCAGTGTGTGTCCACACCCCCCAGTGTGTGTCCACACCCCCCAGTGTGTGTCCACACACCCCCAGTGTGTGTCCACACCCCCCAGTGTGTGTCCACACCCCCCCCCCCAGTGTGTCCACACCCCCCAGTGTGTGTCCACACCCCCCCCAGTGTGTGTCCACACCCCCCCCAGTGTGTGTCCACACCCCCCCAGTGTGTGTCCACACCCCCCCCAGTGTGTCCACACCCCCCCCCAGTGTGTCCACACCGCCCAGTGTGTGTCCACACCCCCCCAGTGTGTCCACACCCCCCCCCAGTGTGTGTCCACACCCCCCCCCAGTGTGTGTCCACACCCCCCCCCAGTGTGTGTCCACACCCCCCCCAGTGTGTGTCCACACCCCCCCAGTGTGTGTCCACACCCCCCCAGTGTGTGTCCACACCCCCCCAGTGTGTGTCCACACCCCCCCAGTGTGTGTCCACACCCCCCCCCCCCAGTGTGTGTCCACAGTGCCGTAACGTCACCAGCGAGGGGATCCACAACCCTCGTCCCCCAAGTCTTCATTACCCGGGTTAGTCCTATCACTCCCCCCCCCCCCTCCACAAGCCTCGTTTCATTTTATTGCCGCTAATCCCTACACTCCGCCATTATTTTCCCCAGTAATGAGGAAGACAGGAGGCTCGTACACTCAGTGACGTGACCGTCCTGACACATGACAAGCAACAGTACACACCTGCCTTGCCCGCCCCCTACACACTCTTAACACACACAACAATCGCATTCCCGCCCACCCTCACACTCGTGTCTCTTCACAGCTTCGTGGATCCCCTATCTACACGCCCCGGTCCCTCCTCCCCCCCCCCGGGCCTACCCCCCCTCACAGCTGGTCTGCAGTATTACAAAAACACCACAATAGACGTGCAGAAGGCACATGCTACGAGGCAGCTCCTATTTGTATCCACTCGTGTGTGTCAAACCTACGCTTGAAACAACCCAGTGATCCCGGTTTTTATTATTACTCGATAAAGCAGGCCGACCTCTTAAGGTGTCCTAACGTCAAAAAACTCGTACTAAAGTGCCCTATCCTAATCTACCAGAGGACCACGAACAGAAAACGGGTCAGTAGGTCAATTTCGCGAGCCGCTACCATTTTTTCGCGACAGTTTTTGGCCTTAAGTAGAATATACGTCAACATGCGAAGCTCTATTATTTTCTACCATAAACGTGGCCACACATTTACAATGCTAACCAGCATATATTCATTTCTTGTCCTCCGTGGACTGGGTTAGACATCCGTTAAACATATAATTCACTGATTTATTGAAGCATCAACCACAGGTGATTGTAGTGCTTTTAAAATGCTAATCTAACCTACAAACGTAAATACACAGATTTACGTCGGTCCTACACAAGCAGTGTTCGCTCTATTAGGACAGGTTAGATAATGTTCAATATATCAGCAATTATATTTCCTAACTCATTTATCCGTGTCCTTTATATATATAAACATATGTTGACCAGACCACACACTAGAAGGTGAAGGGACGACGACGTTTCGGTCCGTCCTGGACCATTCTCAAGTCGATTCAGTACCATATAAACATATGGTACTGTACCGATGACTACTCTGTTGTTGAGGACCCATACTCATCACCACCCCCAGTGAGTCATCACTCGCTCATCAACACCCCCCCCCCTTTCCGTGTAAACGGTAATTTGGTTTACCTCTAATCTACTTGTTAGCAGTTTACTTATCAAAATTTGTAGATCAGCTTGTCAGACTTCCCTAATCATTAGGTGATTACAAAGGTTATTACTTTTAGCGTTCCGCAAATCCAATTAGCGTGTGTGTAATTAAGCTTGCTGACCAGAAACTTCCTGTAGGAACTCCCGCACAAGCTCCCCCACTCCACACTTCTCCACCTTCCTTCCACTAATATATTTGTGTTCCCT